TATGATCCTGGAATGTCCTGCTTTTCCTTAGGATGTCCCTATTTTCGTTGGAGGTTATGGAGTTCTCCCTGCAACCTTGCCCCTCTCCCTGCTGGCAAGCTGGTAAGTAGTAGTGACTCAGCTGCTGGGAGGTTCAGTAAGTGTCTCCACCACACCACGTCAGCAGGTCCTGTTACCCACTTCAGCCTCAGGTCAACAATGTCTTTCTTCCAAACATTTTTATTAGCTGTCTTTTACTGAATGCCTTATTAAAGGCTGACCTGGTCATCATCATGGATTTTGTATGGTGGAGCTCCAACCAGCTGATCTCTAAGATTCCAGTCTTGAGTCTTGCCTTTGTGGCCTTAGGAACGTGCCTGATTTGTTACAGGGGTCAGATCCTGCTGCTGATGTCAGACAGCAATGCCATTGGCTTCTAACAAAGGTGGTTGTAGGTATCCACCCACCTGTCTGGCTCCTGCACAAGTCACTGGCTACACTGAGGGCCACCTTCCTAATACAGTGGTGCCTTGGGTTACATACGCTTCAGGTTACAGACTCCGCTAACCCAGAAATAGTGCTTCAGGTTAAGAACTTTGTTTCAGGATAAGAACAGAAATCGTGCTCCGGCAGCGCGGCAGCAACAGGAGGCCCCATTAGCTAAAGTGGTGCTTCAGGTTAAGAACTGTTTCAGGTTAAGAACAGACCTCCGGAACGAATTAAGTACTTAACCCGAGGTACCACTGTACCGTAAGGCTCTGTGGCACAATGCGTTGGTGCGTTTTGCTCTTAACCAGAAGGTGGGTGGTTTGAGCGCACGCAGGGATGGCTGTGGGCAAGATTCCTGCATTGCAGGGGCCTAGATGATCCTCGTGGTCCCTTCCAACTCCACAATTATATGGCTGGGCACATGCTGCCCCGTCCTAAGACTGGCAAAGGAGCCAGCACCTCGAGATTACCACTGCTCTCATTTTGCATGGAACATCCAAGAAGATTGTAAGCAGCATGCAAGAATTCTCCATTTGCACTGGCCTTATATATGTCCCACAGGATCAGCTCCAAGCCTGATGCTGCCTGCATCAAACTGGCCTAACTGGAGTGGTCCCCTAAGCAGGTTTATCTGGCAGTGGCAGGAGCAGCAGATAACCACAGTTGCAATTTCTCACAGTGCCTCTGATGAAGCCTCATTCTGAGGCACCATGAGATGGCAGCTCCCAGACCCATGGGCCTGGTGCTTGTTCAAGGCGAGGTGGATTCTTACCTCAGGCTCAGGAGTGAAATGCAACCCTCTCTATCTGGCCCTTGGGACTTTCTCCAGGCCACACTCCTCACTGGTCCTGCTCTGCTCCTTCCTTGTATTGTTAACCATGGCAATGCCTCTTGCTTGCCTGAATAAAGGCTTCTGAAATGGGTATGCAGAAATCTGACTTTTGTGTGACTGGAATGTAGCCTATTGTATCCAGCAGGTGTGGGGAACCTTTTTTGGTCAGAGTGCTGCATTCTCTTCTGGCGATCTTTTGAGGGTCACATGCCAGTGGTGGGCAGGGCCAGAGGCAAAAGTGGGCAGAGCAATGAATGCAAATATTAGTCTACACTCGCACACCCTTCTCTATCCTCCATCTCATCCAGCCTTTCTCAGCCTTGGGTCCCCAGGTGTTGTTGGGCTACAACTTCCATCATCACTAGCCAGCAGGCCCAATGGTCAGGGATGATGGGAGTTGTAGTCTAACAACAGCTGAGGGCCCGAGATTGGAAAAGGCTGATGCAGACAAGTAAGAGGCAATATCAGAGTCTAAGGACACATGTTCTGTCCAACTGGAAACTCTTGAGGGGGGTGAGGAGGACCAGTGAGGGGTATGGCTGGAGAGAGTTATGTGGGCCAGAGAGAGAGGGCATGAAGTTCTCCCACTCCTTGTCTAAAGGTCTCATCAATTACTCCATCCATTTTTGTCTCTGGCCCTTACAAGGTTGCCCATGAGATAATGTGGCCCTTAGACTGTCCAGGGCAGGCATTGGTAAGGGCCCCAACTGGGGCCAAGGCATATGATAGGTCTGTTGTCCTTTAAAACAAACAAACAAACAAACAAACAAAAAAACAAAAAAACCAAAAACAAACAAACACCACTGCTCCCCACACCCTGCTGGCTTTACCCTGCAAGGTCTTCTCTTTCCCAGACTGTCTTCAGCTTCTGCCAAGGACCAGTCCCCTGACTTTGCCCAGTAGACATTGGCTGCGGAGTAGTTTATAGCTCTTCCTTAACATTGCTGAACAGCAATATCATTATCTGGCACACGAGTCAACCTTGTGTTATCTGAAATGTCGCTGACTGGTAGGGTGGATTGAAACAGTTGACAATACAGCCACACCCCCCCTCAAATTTATGGCCAGATAAATGTTAGTCAGCTTTCCAAGGTGTGTAAGAGGCTATTGCTTTTTAAATCCGATCAGCATTAATTGGCGTTACGTAACTGTATCCCGTAGGTGGGGTAATCAATCAGTAGAGGGCAAGAGAACAATTTGTGCTCAAGAGCACAGGTAGGGAACCTGCACCCCACGGTTTCATTTTATGGTGAATTCACAAGTGGGGAATATTGCCTTAGTTTTCCTGATTATAAAATGGAACAGAAGTGCTAGCTTTATAATGTCCCTTTCACACTGCAGTACCTGTTGTATATATAACGGTGGCTTTTTGACCAATATACTGGTATGTTGTGCTAAATTTCATTCACATGGGTGGGCGTGGTGTGGCACAACAACAACAGCAACAACAACAAACATCATTGGACAACTTCCCTACGCCCACCACCCTTTCCTCACATGCCTGCTTCTGTTTCCCTATGACTGTAAATAAGTGTATGCTGTTAGACCTCCTCAGATTTAATCACTTTACTCCCACAATTTCCTGGGTTAAGGGGGATGCAAACTGGGTTTTCCCCCTGTAATGAAATAACACAGAAATGAGCACTAAACATGCACTGTGTTCCATTAGTGGAATAATATGGAATATAAGATTTAAGGAAATAGAATAAACCCATGTAAATGCTGCCTAGGTCGACTTCTCCTTTGATCCAAGAGGATTTTCATATGTGCTCACGAACCACTGAACATTTCATACTAAAGTTTGCATTTCATACTCAGGGTAGTTAAAAAATATTGCGTCAACATCCTATTGTTTGAATTTGGGAAGGGAGGAGGGGGAGACCCCTCTAAAAGTGCTAATGAATTTGACAAACCTCTTCCCATCTCCTCCACAATTGCTTGTAACTTTTATTTATGACAACTTTAATGTCTCCCCATGTGGCAAGAATAAAAATAAATGGGAGAGAACATCTGGCAGATTTATTTCTGGTATTATATTTTCTTGCATGCAAAGATTCGAGGCATAGGCATTCCTCTTGCAATACTGCTGTCCTCCAAGAAAGCAAACACTTTATTAGGTTGAGGGCACTAGCAGGGAGTGGGGACTGTGGAAAGGGGGACAGCTTGGGCCTGAGAGTATTATTTTTAGCCTGCCCTTGGTGCAAGGCACTCATGACACCATACACCGGGAACATGATCCCATTTGATCCTGACAATGCCCCTGAGATAGGTTGAGTTGAGGGGAAAATTAGATGTTGCATGAAATGAATCCAGCTCCACTGCTATCAGTGGTGGCTGGTCATCCTTAGGACTTGTAGGGCGAAAGGCAGGGAGACCAACAGTAGGTGGCGATATAAACCAATGATGGGCAGAGCTACCCCCTAGACTCGTAAGGGAGAAGGTTGGTTGAGGGCAGACTGAAGTTGCAGGGACAGTGTCCTATTTGCCCTAATAGACAAGCCTCCACTGCCTACTGTAATGTATAATACAGGAGTTGGCAGCCTCTAATCTTCCTGATGCTGTTGGACTCCAAATCCCAACAGCCCCTAGTCAACTTGGCCACAGGTTTCCCACCACTGATCTAGCAGGTCAGCCTTATTTTGACATCATGTCCTTCTGGACCACTGATTCATTTCATTGGCTCCCTCTGAAACATAGGACAGAGAGGGCTTAAATACACAGTACTGCTGTTTTTGATAGGGCCATTTCCTTGCTGTTCATCCATGTGTATAACCAGCTACACCCCCCCCCCAAAAAAGTTCAAGTATTGCAAAAAAGAGTGAGAAAAGCGCCACTCTTTCACTAGTGGAAGCCCAGATGAGTTCACCTGACCATCTTAGAGTCATAGATGGAAGGGATCCTGTGCATCATCTAGTCCATATTTTGGAATTCCATATTTAAATTCAAAATATTTTGAATTCCAATATTTGAGAGCACCCACTCTCCTTGTTTCAGCAGGAAGTTCTAGGCTCCATGGTTTGAAGGCACATGACATGACAAGTCTGCCAAAGCTGAGCAGATCCGAGTCTGGTCAGTTCTTGGATGGGAGATCACATAGGACTCCTGCACACGCTGTTTTGAGTTCCATCATGGATGAAACTGGTGTTTGGATGGGAGATAAGGTAAAAAAGGGTAGTGTTGGTGCCACAATGTTGGGGGTCCTCAAGCAGGACTGTTTCCCTTCGGTTGTTTCCCTTAAGCACCAAGAGGTAAGGTACACAACCCTCAAATCATATCCTGCTACCTCCGTTTTTCTTGGGTGCACAGCAAAATCGGCATGGCGGCTTTTGTGGAGCTTCAGATCCTTTCCCAATCTTTGGTCCCCATGCAAATGTCAGCCTCTGGAGTGTATTTATTACATTTTATATTACATCTTTCTTCCAAGGAGCCCAACATGGTGTGTGTGGTTCTTTCCCCTCCCTAGTTTATCTTTACAACAACATTGCAAGGGACAGTGATTGGCCCTAAGTCATTTTGTGAGTTTCATGGCTGAATAGGAATTTGCACCCTGGTCTCCTACGTCCTAACCACTGCACCACAGTACAGGCCCTGGGCATGCAACTCTCTCTCTCTCTCTCTCTCTCTCTCTCTCTCTCTCTCACACACACACACACACACACACACACACACACACACACACTCTGCCGCCGCCTTTAATTCAGCTCAACTCCTTCAGCATGGGAAATCTTTCTAGATGTTGTCAACTTGATGGGTCACCATGCTGTGAAGATAATAGAAGGCCTTCATTGGGTTGACCATGAAATTGACCCGAATAAGGACCCGAGGGTTGGATGGTTATCTGTGAACAAAAACCACAAGCAGAACATTGCTCTTGCTGTTAATAGGTATCGCTCCCCCTCCTCCCCCCCACCTTTCTCCAAAGGTGACTCTTTAATGAGTTTTGATGACTGCACGCTGAGTTTATGGCATTGCATGGGGAGAGCGGAGAGCTTTCTCCCCCTGTTGATGTATTTAAAGATTTGTAAGGGCCAGGAGGAGGGAAATCATCTGTTTGGTGGCGTTGATGGGCACCTGCAGTGTGAATTAATGTACGGTTCAAAAACTCAGCAACCCTCCCCCCTTTCCCAGCTCTGCTAAGGTGATCTGGATAGTGCTTCATGGGGCTGGGGATGGGGAGCAACCATATTTCATATCATGCGTGCAATATAAAAAGAATGCAATAGCAGCACCGTGCGGGAAGTACGAGGTGACTGGCAGAGAGGGGGTCAACAGTGTAGACTTTAAAATTGGGATGTACTGTGAGCAGAAACTGTTGTAGGACTGGAGCTGAAAACTGCTGCCTCCAGTTCCCCCATCTCATTAACTGGCTGCGTAATTTGTACATATTCTAAGTGGGGCTGCAGAAGGGGCAGTATGGAAAAGATCTCTCCTGCTCCACGCCCTTGCCCGGTGGGGAAGACTCATTGAGAAGCCCTTACAGAGTTTGGGTTTACAGAGTCATGAAGCACTTTGCCTCAGGTACCGAAACGTCTCAGACTGCTCCTGAGTAGTTGACTTAGTAGCTGCCAACTTTTTGAGCTATCGGGTATGTGTTTGGTAGTTTGGGAAAATGTGAGCGCCAGCCATAAAATGGAAGCTGCAGGGTGTGTGGCATAGCACACAATGACTGCTACATCTAAAAAAGACAGAACGGTGTGGGCATTTTCCTCTATCTCATGCGTTGTGGATCTGGATATTTACTGATACCTTTTGCAGGCACTTTAAGAGGGACTGGTGGTTGCCCACAGGTAGCCTGCTGGCAACTCCTGACCTAGGTTAGTCTGCTATGCCTCAGACTTTCTTACTGTCCTTAACCATTGGTATGATGTCTGCTACACAGGGCAGGTGATGGAACAAGCAAGGTGGGGACCAAGAGGTCTGCGGTTCTGGAACAGACCGGTAGCTAAGGCCAAGCCAGGGTGGGATAATGTGCAAACAATTTGTGCTTTGGAAGCAATTGGCTGGACAGGGCAAAACCAACTGGTGAGCTTATTTATTTGTTCCATCTATAGGAACATTGGGTGCTGCCTTGATCTGATCATTGGTTCATCTAGTTCAATATTGCCCACACTGACTGGCAGCAACTCTACAGGGTTCGGGGAGGTGACATTCCCAGTCTTACTTGGAGATGCCAGGGATTGAACCTGGGACCTTCTGAATGCAAAGCAGACACTCTACCCCTTTGTCTCCCGTTGATCCATCTTGTTCAGTATTGTCTCCACTGTGGTCTTTCCCCTAAGCAGAGGTCCAAATGTTCCCAGACTTTTGACTGCTGCTGTGTAGGATCCCTTCTTGCATGCACCAAACATGTGGGTGTCAGGGGAGGGTGTATGGCTGCAGGTCCTGACTTCTCTCCACCTCTAAACCCATGAGGGACTTTGCAACACACCAGTCATGGTTTCTGCAAAGAATTCTGGGGACTGTGGTTTGTTAAGGGTGCTGAGAGTTGTTAGGAGACTCTTATTCCCCTCACAAGGCTACAATTTGTAGAGTTCCCCATGAAGCAGGATTGACTGTTAAACCACTCTGGGAACTTTCTGATGGTGAGAATTGTTCAATAGTAGAATGGACTACCTTTGGCTAAATTAAACTACAGTGGTACCTCAGGTTAAGTACTTAATTCATTCCGGAGGTCCGTTCTTAACCTGAAACTGTTCTTAACCTGAAGCACCACTTTAGCTAATGGGGCCTCCTGCTGCTGCCGTGCCGCCAGACCACTGTATGGTCTTTTAAACTGTATATGTGTGGGGGGGAAAGGGTTATTGTTTTTGTTTGTTACTCTGCTATGCTTTTTGTGTTTTTATATTGTAAACCACCCTGAGATCCTTGGATAAAGGGTGGTATAGATATTTAATAAATATATAAATAATGAAGTACATTGGAAGGCGGTGGACTCTCCTTTGGAGGTTTTCAAACAGATTGGATGGCCAACTGTCCGGGATTCTTTAGCTGCTATTCCTGCATTGCAGAGGTTGTACTGGGTGGGCCTTTTGGTTCCTTCCAGCTTGGCAATTCTATGATTCTATGACAGCCCTTTAGATACTTGAAGATGGCTGCCAAATCACCCCTCAGTCTTTTCCAAGCTGAACATACCCAACTCTCTCTCAAACGTTCCTCATAAGGCTTGCTTTCCAGACCCTTGATCATCTTGGTCACCCCCCTCCTCTGCACATGTTCTAGCTTGTCGATATCATTCATAAACATTGGTGCCCAGAACTGGACACAATCCCTTGGGTCAGATCTGATCAGATTGATTCAGACTATTCCGTTGAAAGAGTTGGACGGCCAGTCCTGGGTTCAGAGTCTGACAGTGTAACATATCCTCTATGTACAGTTACAGATAGGTAGCCGTGTTGGTCATTATACATTACAAAGCCATTTTTCACCTTCTCACCCCTTGCTTTTCCCTGTAAGACCTATTGCAGTCATTAAGAGTCATCAACAGGCTCATCACAGCTATCTGCCAATCACCCATTCCCACCACCCTTCTGAGTAATACCCCTCCCCACCTTCTCACTATATAGAAGGATCTGGCAACTTCTGTTTCAGTGTATCTGAAGAAGTGTGCATGCACACGAAAGCTCATACCAAGAACTAACTTAGTTGGTCTTTAAGGTGCTACTGGAAGGATTTTTTTTTTTGTTATATCCTCTATGGGGAGCTTCCCCAACTCCCAGACTATATCTGGCTGCTTTTGGACATCGGAAACCTTAGGCTTTGCATTCCACCTCTGGTTCTTTGCCCCCTTTACAGCACTCTCAGAAATATGCTTACTCAGAAATGGGCTTCCTCCCAAGGAAGTGTGTCTTTCTGTAGGAGGCTCCAAGGAGGCAGGCAGTGTGAGAAGATTCAAAGGGTTTTCACTCTGCCTGGCCATCTCCTCATAGCGAGACTTCTCACTTCTCTCTGGCTTCAAATATATCACCTTGGAAACATTCCTAATTACTGCAGATCAGAAGCCAAACATCACATAGTAGACATGATTTCAGTAAGTGTAAATGCACTACGGTCTAGGGTTCATTTCTTTGCACCTCTGGCCAAGTTGTGTCTTGGGTTTCTGGCTCGCTTGTTGCACCCATCACTCTGCTAGTGAAGTTTCTAGATCTGTGTGCAAATGGGCCCCACCCTGTTTGCAGGCACAGAAATTTGGTGGACTGTGTTTGCATGTGTTCTGCCAAATTTATCCAGTGGGAGGAGAAATTCACCCATAGTTCCTTAGGGTGGGACTTGCAGGAACAGGAACACAGTTTGTACTTTACCTAAGAGAAGTTCTTTGCTGATGCCATCTCCAGTAAGAGCAATTATCAGTCACTGTGTGACAGTCTGGCCAGCATTCTTTCAGCAGTGCCCTGCCCCCCTAGCGCCATTCTGGGGCATTGTGGGTAGGTGGTGAAAACGGGGGCTGCCATGCCAAAAATGGAGAATATTTGCAGAAAATTCTGCAAGCGTTCCTTTCTGGGAAGAAAAAGAAAAACCTCAATATATCCCCCCTCCAAACACACACACACAACCCCCCCCCCGAGAAATTTCAGCTTAACTCTAGAAATTTCAGTTAAATTCCCTGTTAATTGGCACACATTCATTCTACTAATTATATCAGAGTCCAAGCTCAAAACCCTCTAGAATCCCTCCTTTCCCCCTCCCTAGATGTTTTCATCATCCATAGATTTATGGAATGCTGCGTTGTTCCCCATAGGCATCCATCAGGCACATTATTACTGTTGCTCTGTCCTTTTAATTGCTTTTTTCAGAGAACTCCCTTCAGCCCAATTATACTTGGGGTGTTTTTGTTTATTAACCAAAACGCATCTGCAAATTGATGCCGTTACCACTAGTTAAACAGGCTGTAAATCAACTGACTATCTCTACTGAGGGGGTGCCAAAAGATCATTGTAGCTTAGCTTCACTGCTCAGCCTATGGGCTGTATTCAGAGTTCAGGGATTGTCACGATAGGCCAATCATACGGATATTTGATAGGTCGAGCAGCCAATAACCACTCTGGGCGTAATGAAGTTACTTGGGGGTGGGGCTTCTTTAGAAAGGAATTTGTCTGACTTCTCAGAGTTCCCTGGGAAAGAGGGATTGATTGTTAAACCGCTCTGGGAATTGTAGCTCAGTGAGAGGAGTGGGGATCTCCTGACAATTCTCAGCACCCTTAAACTATAGTTCCCAGGATTCTTTGGAGGAAGCCACAACTGTTTTAAAGTGGTATGATACTGCTTTAAATTTATAGTGCAGATATGGCTATGCTTACCTTCAACAAGGTGGGGGTCTCATGTGCCTTATGATCAAACCCTGGGACCCTCTATTACAATAATTTTTGTACCATTGCATAAAATAGTTTCTTTTATACAAAACCACCCATCTTGCCCAAACATGTAATATAAATACCAAGATGGATTTTTAAATATATATGATAAATGTTTCTATATTAAAAAGAGATCACCAAGAATGATTGACCCTAAATACCAGCTTCACATTATCAAAGTCAACTTAAGCAAATGTTCCTGGCTCCCATTTCAGAGAATAAATCTCTTCACCATTTCATATGACTCACATGGTTATAACAGCCAAGGGAGCTACAATCAAAAGATTGGCATTAACTCTGATGAACATCCACTCTTCATCTCCAGAGTAGAAAGGAAATTAAAGACAAAAAGAATTCTTTACAACTGAGTATTGGAAAAGTGGGTTTATGACAAGAAGGAAGCCAAGAAGTTTGCTTCAATCTTGGCAATGGGGAAGAATTGCTTCCATCATGGGCTGGGCCAACTCTCACACCCCAGAGGGCTTCCCTGGGAGCTGTTGCCTGGCAACTGGCCACTTCCAGAAAGGGAAAGTGTGCCTCCATTATGGTCTTGAGCAATGTTTAGCTGCTCAGCACCTCAGTGGTTAAGAGCAGTGGACTTGTAATCTGGTGAACCGGATTCGCTTCCCCGCTCCTCCACATGCAGCTGCTGGGTGACCTTGGGCTAGTCACACTTCTCTGAAGTCTCTCAGCCTCACTCACCTCACAGAGTGTTGTGGGGGAGGAAGGGAAAGGAGATTGTTAGCCGCTGTGAGACTCCTTAGGGTAGTGATAAAGCGGGATATCAAATCCAAACTCTTCTCTTCTTCATGCTTGGAAGAGGTACCATCTCATTCATAGAACACTTTACAATTTCCACTGGGGTATGGTGTTGAACTTAACCTCATCATTGCAAGGTCATAGCTGTCAACGTTTCCCTTTTCTTGTGAGGAATCCTATTCAGAATAAGGGAATGTCCCTTAAAAAATGGGAAAAGTTGACTGCTATGTGCAAGGGTGACGTGTGATTTTATTTTGTATCAAACATTTTTCCATCACTTGACGGCCTCCTGACTGCCCAAGTTTACTTGGTCTAACTAATAAACTTTTGGCAAGTTGCAACAGCAACTTCCGCAGTTCAAGCCCCAGATCCCCTAAAGAAGACTTATTTCTTGGACCTCACTTCCTGATCTAAGCAAGACACTTGTGGCACAGCATCACATTGGGACTGAACCTTAATCCAACCCCCCAGTTTCTTAAAGAAGCTGGCATTTGGCCCACTGCTCCTTGTTGGTAACCCACATGGAAGATCTCAGCCTGATATCTGCTGCACACATACTGAGAATATAGGAGCAGCTGAACCAGGGCTCCTGAATCGGTTCCTTCACACATTTCTCAGTTGCTGCAGTTTGTAGCACACTGTCAACTTTTCCAAGGGGGATGGGGAGGGGAAAGTCAGCTCCTAGAGAAGAAACTTTCCTCCTGCAGTCTCCGAATCAGCAAGTCACACAGAACCAGAAAATGGAAACAAAGAGGCTTTCCTTGAAATAAGAAAGTAAGCACTTTGGAAAGAGCTGGGGCAGCAGAACGCTGCGGAGCCGAAGTATCGCTTCACTGAAGCCATTTTTTTTTGCCAGGCTTTCTTGTGGTTCTGTTTGCTTACTGCTTATGAAAAGCAATTTATAATTGTCATGGACTCATTGATTTAGGAACACCTGTGGTTTGAGGGCACATCGCAGCTGCGGAACTCGACGGAACTAATTTAACATAAAACACACACCATCTTGTAGCTGCTGGGCTGGGAGCCTCCAGCACAGCAACCAACACAGAGTCTGATTCTTCACTTGAGCTGGGCACATCTTGACATGTAGATTCTATGAAGCCAAGTGCTAACTGTGCTCTGCCTGCTCCCATGCAGAGAGGAGGTGCGGATGAATCAGTCGATTTCTGGCCTGTGTCCCTTTCACACGTATTTAGGAAAGGGGGAGGACTTTGGCCTGGTAATCTGCAGTCCCTGAAACAACGTGTGAACCAAGACACAGCTATCCTTCAAAATGTGAAGGTCACCAAATTTTGTGACACAGTTCTCCAGCGAAAAAATAAAAATCTCCAAGTTGATGACTGGAAGTGCAGCAAGTTGATGATTAGGAGAATAAGAAACTGAAAAGTCTATCCTGAAATCATCTGCAGTTTATTACAAAGATGGCTGTATGGAAATATGCATTTTAAAACTTATTTATCTCTTCCATTCCTAAATGCATATTTTCTAATAAAAAATGTTTCTAAGTATGCATTTTAAAATTCACATTGGAAAAGCACAACTAGGTAACTATTTTGTGCCAAGCACCATGCTGGGACATGCAGGAAGCATGCACACTAGTAGCTACCTAAATCCCAATTCACTTACTAGTCTTGCGAGTCATGGATTATATTTGAATTGCATGCAAATTTTGTAGAGATTGTTTATCTCAAGCATTTTTGCCTCCAGGATTGGTGTAGGATTTGCAAGTCCTGGAACCAAATGCATAGCCTTTATTATTCTTTTCCCTCCAGGATTGAGGAAACTTTGAAATGAGTCTTTTTCACAGCAGGCTTGGGTTTTAAACAGGAACACTGCAAGACTGCTGATCAAACACTTCAACAGTCAGAATCTACTAGGGACAGTTCTAATTCTCTGATATTTGTCCCTGATAAATAAACATGCAGTTAGGAGGGAAAAGGAGATGCATGTGTCAAACCAGCCCCTACCCTGACAGCCCCAGATCACTCAGGGTAATCTGAAACTGCTGCAACCTGCTCTGGTCAAATTCTGAGCCAACCCCAATGGGCTCAGTTCAGGATCCAGCCAGAACTAGTGCATAATCCTTTGCTTGTGTGTGTGTTCATGGGCTGAAGAACCTCTGGTCTTTAGGTCTCAGGTGACCCCCCCCCCAAGCCTAATTTTATGCAGGTAAGTGGAAGGCTTAAAGAAAAGAAAGGGCTTTTCTGGGAGGTGGGAAGCTGAAATGGATAGTACAATGGAAGGAGGGTGGAACTTCTTTGTAAGCAGAGAGACTAAGCAGTGTCAAAAACAGAAATCGAAAGCGGGATGGAGGAGTGTCAGAAAGTGTAAGTGTGTGTGTGTGTGTGTGTGTGTGTGTGTGTGTGAGAGAGAGAGAGAGAGAGAGAGGGGGGGGGGACAGACAGACAGACAGACAAATGGTGGCAGGCTGTCCACATTTTGGCTTTAGCTCTGCTCACTGCCAGCATGCAGCCCTGACAGATCACAGCAGAGGGAATGAGACCTTCAGGGGACAAAAGTTTCCCCAACCTCGGCACAATTTCACCCATTGAGCTTTATAGCAGGCAGGGACTGAGGCCCACAAGTCTCAGTTCTAAGGCCAACACACCAGCCACTGCCCCACACTGGTACCCCCTCCTCCTGCCCTGGGTGCAGTGCCATGGGCAAATCAGGAGATACAGGCTCTCTCTGCCTTGCCCCTGCTAGAGAGTTTTAAAATAGGGATGCAAACACGCACATGGGAAGCAGCCATCTGTCAGCGGTCCCAATGGTAGAGAGCAGGAATGTGACAAACCACACCATCAAGAAGTGGAAAGATGTGGGTTTTTTGGGTAGATGCAGGATGATCATGTGCATCATGGGGCTGGAGCAATTGGACCACTCAAGCATTCAAGTTCACACTTCAGCAGGCCAAGGGGATTTCAAGCTAAGCAAGGGAGTGCTTAATTTTATGGAGCAAAACACTGCTAAGGAGGGCGGTGAGTAAGAGGATGAGTTCAGAAGGCAGCTGATAGTAAATTGATGTTTTAATACAGGGCTGGCGAGCCTCAGTCCCAGGGCCAAATGTGGCCCTCCAGGCCTCCCTGTTTGGCTCTCAAGATAGGATATAGAAGCATGATTAGTTGCACCAACAGGCTGTTAGGCTGCTGAATGAAAAGATAACAACAGGGCAACTGTCTTTTGGGTTTGGTGGGTGTGCATCAGTAAACGAGGGGAATTAAGACTTAGAGAGCTGAGTTGGGGGTGCTCATGTAATCTCACTAAATATAAGTTGTACAAGTGACAAAGTATTTCAGTTTTTCCCATGCTGAACCTTGTATTCCCTCCCTCTCTCCATCTTCTTCCTCATTCAGGGGGCTGGCAGGGGAAGGACAGTTCTCTTTCCCCAGCAGTTTGGATGGTCCACTTGCAGAAGGTTTTGGCTGCTGTGCCACAGGGCTGCAGGCTGACCACCTTTTTCATATGTGGTTCCCTTCCCCCCTCCTCTCCTCTCCTTGTATCCTCACAACAACCCTGTGAAGTTGGCAGTGCACAGGCCGGTTCCCCGCCTGACATCATTGGTCCTCTCTGCTGCCTCGAGGATGCTGCGTTTGTGGGTACAGCTGGCTCCTTCTGTTAGACGATGAGAAAGTGTGACATTTTGGGAGCACTTCCAGAGAACAGCTTTCTCAAAATAGCAATCCAAAAGGCCCCCATTTCCACTTGAAAGCCATATGCTTTTTTTTCCGAAGGAGCTTTGCTTCAATCCCCCTCATCCTTAACCCTGCATGGCGCTTTAGGAAATGAGATGGATGCAAATTCCCCACCAGGCAAGTCCCATTCAGATCTGGCTCTATTAGCTCATATTCCATCCTGCAGACTTGTCAGGCCTGTCTGAGGCAACCTGACAACTCTCTGGAGTTCACATCCTTTGGACGGAAGGGGATAAACTGCAGTTAAAACCCTGCCAGCCATTTTTCATTCACAAACTGATGGTGCAAATTCGTTTCTCTTAAGAAGTAACTCTGATTCAACCGATGCAGCAATGAATTGCAGATATAGCAAAATCTTTCAGCATAGGTGGGCAACTGACAGCCACCACCCAGACCCTCATCCCAATTTCAGGTGAATGGCGAGGAGAAGTTAAATGGGAAAAGGAGAAGAAGAGGAAAGGGGTGCAAGAAAAAAAGGTGTTTGTGAGTAAGATGGTACTACTCACGTTTGGTTCTGGCACATCACTGGCTTGAACTATTGCTTTTTTCCCCCCCAGCATGCCTTGGGACAACTTGCCAGCATCTAATCTAATTAGGCAGCAGTCCTAACACTGCATATCTGGGAGAAAGCCCAATTGAACTCAATAGGACTGACTTTTGAGTGGACAAAGTTAAGATTGCTTTGCTTGTTTTGCAGAGCTTCCTGGATTATTATGTGAAGACTGTAACAGACTACAGATTGAGCAACTTCTTCCCTCTCATCCTTGTGCTTGTTTTCTGACATCAAAGCCCAAGGAAAAGTTCTGTGAAATGCTAAAGCTTGCTCAGTGTTCTTGATTATTCATTGTCTTGAAGAAATGTGCTGAATATTCAGTTTGCTGCCTTGAATGCATGCATACATAGCTTCACTTTGCCTGTTTAGCTTTTTTAAAAATTCTGTTTTTATTTATTAGGATTCATATGCCACAAAATCTTCAAAATCTCTAAGGGGTTTACATAACATAAAATTACCAATATAATCAGATTTTAAAAAAACAAGTTAGCCCTTTTTGGAATGAAAGCAGCAGTTTTATTTAAAATGCATTATAATGCACATACTAAAATACACATCAAATGTACATTTGTGGGCAGGCCTGCTGAAACATAGTTTTTCAGTAGGCACTGAGAAGTTTGGTGAAGGCACCTGCCTATTATCAAGAGATAGAAAGTTCCAAAATGTTGGTGCTAGCTATACCCTTTCTGGTGTAAACTGTCATTGGTAACCTAAATCCACTCCTCCCAATCTAAATTGAAATGTTAGTCCTGCAGAAGATGCAGTTTCTCCTGGGGGTGGGGTGGGAGGGTTGTCATCTTTGTAGTCAAAGATGTAGGGTTCAATCCCTAAGTGACCTGCAGAAACTAGGAGCTGATGAATAAATTGAGCACAAGCACCTGCTTTTTCCTAAAACCTGACCCCTGTTGATTTGAAGTTCCTTCCCCATCCCTTTCATCCCTCCATCCTGAAATTCCATGTGGCTGTTCTACCTACTACCCAAAATAAGCAGGCATGCTTTCAGTTGTGTTCCATTTAATAGAGACCATTAGGCTGTTCTGTTCAAATCAAGGCATGTTAGCAACCATAGAAAGTGTTGCAGTTAAGGACTTATAACTCTGCTTCCTGGCAAAAGCAGACTGACCAGTGTGGACATTAACTGATAAATGCTTACCCATTACACAACCAAAAGCAGGAAATGGAGAAGAAAGAGCAGGGCATTTAAATGAGCCTTTTATCTTTGCCTTGTTCGTAAAGCAGGCATGGGGAACATTTTGCAGCTCCAAGATCATATTCCTTGGGAGCAACTTTCTGCAGGATGCATACCAGTAGTGGGTGTGGCCAAAGTGGGTGTGGCCACACCTCCCACTCTCCATCCTCTGTCTGGGCAAGCAAGAGGAAGCACCATAGTTTAAGGACACATTCCAGCCATGTAAAATCACTAGAGGAAGGTGCACTGTAAAGACTCCTCAAAGGATTCCCAAACTGGAAACTGGTCCTGTTTGGTTTGGCTTTTTTTTTTTTTTTGCCTTGCTGCAGAAACTGTGGCAGGTGGACCAAGAAAGAGCTCGGCAAGGATTTCCTTCAGACAAGTTCCTTAGCAATACAGATAAGTTGATTTCAATGCACAGCAGCTGTTGCTGACACAAGCTTTGAAGTTTGTTCCTAGCATGAAATCTAATGATGAATGAAACTGGAGATCTGGAACAGCCAGTACATTATTTGGAGGTGGTAGACGCAGATGGCAAGATAGAGGAATGCGGCTGGCATATGGTTAGGAGAACAGACCAAGAAAGTGAAACCGAAGGGAAGAAAATAAACAGGCAACCACTGACTGGTTTGGGCTGGATTTGTAGGGTTCTGGCTGCCGAGAAATTGTTTGCAAGCCAGAAGAGGGACTTAGCAGATCATGGTGGGTAGTGGATTGGGGGAGAAAATTGTTCTGTTTGCCTTTTAGTGGACACTTCCCAAATTTGCACTCCCCAAACCAATGTGAACTGATTTGTAACTGTACTTCAAAATTCTCACTTCTCTGAATTTTGCAATGGAGTTCTAAAAAAAACCCATACAAAACTGCATGTCTTAGGGGAAAGTATACTAAAAAATGCATATGGTAGTGAATGCAACATACAAAAAAGACATTATATTAGTGAAATTACTTGCCCAAGTTTCTTTGTTTAGAGAAATGTATGCAAAAATGAGTACAAATGTCTGTGTTTATACATACATGTATACATGAAAACTGATGCAGAAATGGGATGAATTGAATGTAATATTTTTATTATTATTTATTATTACTATTTGAAAAACTGAGATAAACCAAAACTGAGATTTGTCAATCTCTAGTGGTAGATTTCAGTTCTAATGCCAAGTCCTGTAGCCCAAAGCAGGATTTCAGCTCAGTCCTACTTGGAGGTGCTGTGGATTGAAGCTGGTACCTTTTGCATGCAAAGCTGATGATCTGCAACTGAGCAGGGCTCTCCTTATATTTTTGTGTTCCATTTTGGGTGTGATGTCATTCTGAGTTTCTCCATTTCCATCAAACTTCATTGGCCGCTGTTCACAACTGAAGCACTGTGTGGTGCAGCGATGCCTTATAACACTTTTCATTCTACAGCACATAACTGTGGGAAAGAGGAAGAGAGGCCCAGTTGCTTTGCACTCGTTTCACTGGGGGTGTCAGGAGCAGGTCAGCAATAACTCACACAGTGCCAGTGAAAGAAACAAAACAGCTCAGGAGGGCAGGCCTAGTGAGCCCAGCAATTCTTCCTGGTATATCTTGTTCCTGTGAGGCAGTCGCCAGGACCAAAGATCTCCGCCTTCCCACAGCTCCCTAAGTTGTCTCCTCACCTGGTTCCTTCCCAAGTAATTTGAGTCTCCATCATCTTGCCTGTTTTTGCTCTGCCCTCTGCATACCTCTTTGAGTTCTGGGAGGCCAAGAGGGAGGGGAGCTGCCAGTCACAGCCTGCCTCATCTCTGCCTCTCCTCTCCTTCCTCCGCCTCTGCCTCTGATTCTGAACTGCTCTCTGCCACAGCCTTTTCCTGCTCACTAAACCCTGTTCCCTCTTCAGTAATAAAAAAAAGACACAGGAAAAAGTAAAATATACAGAAGGGTACAAAATCCATAAAACAGGTCCAGTAAATAATGAACCACCCAACAGATCCATCACGGAGCAAACAAAGCTAAGCTGCAAGGAGGAAAACAATTAGAAATTTCAATATTAGCAAGAACATGGATAAAGAAAACAGGACATTGAACTGACCGAACAACAAAATTGTCTTGGCAACATTTCCCAACTTATTTTTTTCCTGGGGCAGTCCATTTATTCCTCCCCTCAGTCTTCCACACTAGGGAGGCTCCATTGTCTGTCCAGGGACTCTCAGTAGGCAGCTTTTGCACCCTTCGCTCCTCCTCTGCAACTCACCCAGGCTCTCACCCTGCATTGTATGATGAATTTTTGCTCATACACAGCAAGAACTGCTCACTTCTTTTCCATGCTAGTAACAGAACAAAAATCAAACACAGACGAGAAAGAAGGTGCCAATGGGCCTTGCTTCTTACCGTGTTTTGGCCTGATGGCAAAGCTCACAGGGAAAGCAGCAAGGCTGGATGAAAGTTACTGGACCACAGAAAGTGCTGAGTGATCAATTTGCTCCAACAACGGTTGGGAGGAGACTGAGATCTTTTATGCCTCTGTCTCCCCACAACCTCCTCCAGGCTCCACCCCTGTGAGAGAACTTTAGAGTTCTCTGAAGAGCCAACCCTCAGCCTTAAGATGGACCACACCTCCTTAATTCCAGAGCCTCCCTCTTGCTGCTCTCTTGGACTGGTGATGTGTAGTGGGAGGCATCTGGTTCCTCAGGCTCAGTGGAAGGTGTCTGTGAGGGTTCAGGCTTTGGCCCTATAGGCTCCAGTGGTCTGGGAGTCCTTGTCCAACCGCCTCAGGCAGAGTGGTCTCCTTATCTTCTGCAGTCAGCTCTGAGCCCTGACCCAGATCCAGCTCCTCATTCGGTGCCCCTGCAGCCTCCAACTCTGTCCAGATCCCTGCTGGATACAGGGTTCATGATACTTCTTCACAATTCTAACAAGACTCAGTAAACATTCATGCTATACATTTAAATCACTATACTACTTTAAACTACCACTGTAGTTTTTTTAAGCTTAGGAGACACCCCCTCCTTTTCCTCACAGAGCTACAATTCTGTGTTGAACATCCTTAGATCCCTCCAGAGAAGAGATGCATTTCCGAGGGCTCCCAAGGGGAGAAGGAATGACCATTGAACCATTTTGAAGTCTGTAATATAGGCAGACCTTAATAAATGCAGTACAAATGAGTATTAATATAGAGGGGTTTCCTACACATTTTTGCCTGGGTTTCCATTCACTATGGCCGGCATCTCTCCCCTTGTAGACCATGGAACATAAAGTAATCCAATAAGAGCTAATGAAATATTTACTGGCTTTTAAGAAGTAATTAGGCCCATGCATTGTAGAGCTTAAGTGCGGGAGGTAATGTAAGTAAAATGAAAACCTGGAAATGAATTTTTCATTTCTGTGAACTCATCTGGATAATCGATCCCCCCTTTGGACAATTGGGTGTAAAAGCAGCAGATTAGATTAATCAGCAGAACTCATCTCTTGTGACTTCGTTGGTTCTTTGGGGTTTAGGGTTGCCAACTTTCCAATTGGCCCCGGTGGCTGCGCCTTTCTAAGCTGCTGAATGTGCTTCTGTGCTTTAGGACAAGGGTCATCATTCGGCCACAGGAAAATAATCTCCATCTGATTTACCTGCAGGAAGTTGCCATGAAAGGTGCAACATCAGGGCAGGTTAGTCAGTTGGCACCTTAGCTTGGGATGGATGTCCAAGGATGCAAAGGCTGACTTTTTTTAAAGCCGTATTTTAGAACCAGTAACATTATACCTTTGCTGAGAACATCTCAGCACCCCAGACAGCGCATTGCTGCTGTATATATAACATTGGCATTGACTTGAGGAAACTCCACCCATAGCTCAGTGGTGGAGCATCTGCTTTGCAGGCAGAAGGTCCCAAGTTCAACCCCCAACATCTCCAAGAACAGCTGGAAGAGACCTCTGCTTTGAAACACTGGAGAGTTGCAGACAATACAGTACTGAGCTGGATGGACTCGGGAAAAGCATGTCTTTTGCAGGCTATATCTACAGTGCAGATGTCCTGGTTTTCCAGTGCAATCTTACTCATGCCCATTGAAAATAGAGTCCCATTGAGTTCAATAGATCTTACTCCCAGGTATCAACGTAGGTTGAAAGTCATCCCTTCACCACGAGCAACACTGGGAATCACGGTTATTTCTCTGTATTGGTGTATCAAAGAATTCTTACTACAAAAGCAATACATTTTTTAGGAGGTGGAGGCACTGTAGCACTTGCAGAGGTGTAGTTAGGCAATTGCTGACTTTGACTTAAAGATCTTATAGTCTCTCCCCTATATCTTTAGATGCTTATTCTTCTAAAGGGGGGGGGGGGTCCGTGGACATTTGCCCTGAAGTTCTGCCAAGACAGGACCAGTGAAATTCCAGTTTACAAAGGGCCAATGTAAGCCTGTAACAACAGAACAAGCTCTTTCTGCAAATGCCATCATAGTGTGTACCACTGCTATGCTATGTCCTATTCTCATCACTGGTGAAAGACCAATGTGCTACTCAAAGTACTAGATATTATGATCTACCAAGAGACAGTGCAGGACAGTGGTTAGTTAGACTGGGGAGGTCTCCTTGTTCAGATGCTGAAGTCTTCTGAGGCCACATTCACACCAGACAATTAAAGCTCTATGATGCCACTTTAAACAGTCATGGCTTCCCCAAAAGAATTATGGGACCTGCAGTTGGTAGAGCCTCAGGTACAACTCCCATCAACACAGTTGTGTTGGGCGTCAGGGTGTGATAGGGGTGTAATACAAGACAACTGCAAGCCACCAGGTTGGGAGAGGCTGGTTTCTCTCCTCAGTGCCATTATCAGCAACTGCTACTACTACCTCTCAATAACAGCTAGCTGTAGATGCTGGCAAGCCGTTTCCCAGAGAAAGATCTCATGAATGGGCTTTCCAAAGGAGAATAATAGACAAGGTATCTCATAAGACTGGGACTCATGGACACCCAATAAAGCTGAATGTTGGAAGATTCAGGATCTCTCCAGGTTCTTCAAGGGGAGACTTCAGAAACCTCTCTCCTTCAGTCATTAATTAGTTCCTTTAAAAAAGAGAGCAGTGCAGTCTTGGGCTTTTCAAATGAACCAAGGATGCCTGACTCACCCTGAGAAACCTCCCCCCAATGAGCCTGTCTGCCTCTGCTGGGTAATGGGGAAGGAAACAGTGAACATTTCCCTAGCTCCACAGGCAGCCAGACAATTCACTAAATCCCAAAGCACTTGGGTGTACAAAAAATCCCAATGCTTGAGTTCTGGCATAGTTAGGTGATCAAGCGCTGTGGGTTAAACCACAGAGCCTAGGACTTGCTGATCAGAAGGTCGGTGGTTCGAATCCCCACAACGGGGTGAGCTCCCGTTGCTCGGTCCCTGCTCCTGCCAACCTAGCAGTTCGAAAGCACGTCAAAGTGCAAGTAGATAAATAGCTACCACTCCAGCGGGAAGGTAAACAGCGTTTCCGTGCGCTGCTCTGGTTTGCCAGAAGCGGCTTAGTCATGCTGGCCACATGACCTGGAAGCTGTACGCCGGCTCCCTCGGCCAATAAAGTGAGATGAGCACTGCAACCCCAGAGTCGGCCATGACTGGACCTAATGCTCAGGGGTCCCTTTACCTTTAATGGGATCTAAACTGCCCGATTTGATAAGGATTTTTTTTTCATTATAAAAACAAACAGAACCCTATTTTGATAGAACCAGAAATGTATAAACACTGAAACTGAGGATTTAGTCAAAGTAATCATTGTTGGGGGAAATGATCAATATCTGAAAGGTTATTGCATGTGTGTTTGGGAGAGAGATATTAAAGTTTGTGCCCTGCCTTGTGCAGACACCGCTGCCGAAGGAATCACTCTAGCCAGCAGCAGAGGGAGCTAAAGAAATGGAAGTGACAAGCTTTGCAAAGGCACTGAAACACCAGCTAAATTTTTAAAAGAAGCCTGTGCATATCGGAGAGAGCAAGGCTGGCAGCTCTCAGAAGCCCCAAATCTTCCCCCAAAGAGGCAGCTTCGCTAGGCCAAAATAATACTGAAAAAAATATAGTAAAGTGCACAACCTTCCTTGTTCTTTTTCTAAAATGTCCAATCCTGCTAGCAGCTTGGAGGAGGCAGTGAAACAGAGAGTCAGAGATGGCAAGATGAGGCGAGAGGAAGTGGAGGATCCACAACCCGAGGGGAAGAGATTGAAGCTGGGGAACGATGGAGGAAGCATTGGAATGAAAGGAAGAGAAGGTGGAGAAGAAGAAGAGGAGGAGGAGGAGGCGGCAAGGAATGGAATGGCTTCCTTGGGCAGAGAAGAGTCTGGGACCCAGACAGAGGGAGAAGGCCAAACTGTGAGTAAAGACATCGGAACTGGTGGTGTGTGTTTGGGGGTGAGGCTTAAAGGATGACTTTTGGGGGACACACAGATGACTTGCTTTTGTGAAGTTGATCAGGTTTTGCACTAATGACGCCGTCCCGCCTCGTCAAGAACAGCCAAATGTATCTGTTGAACCATTGCTGTTTCCTTGTCCTTTTCACTCCATGAGTTTGCAAGGAGTGACACTGACCTCCTGGTGAGTGTTTTGCGAGAGTCACTCGCTTCCGAGAGACGAGTTTCCCAGTCTGCTTCCTTCCACTCTCGGTGGGACAAGGGAGGAAAGTCCTGAGTGGGCTGGGGGCTGCTGTAGTGGTCCATCACTCTAGGCCCTTCGCTTCTTCCTAGACTTGGAAAGAGCAGTCAGAGCACCTCGAATCTGGCAAAAGAGTTTGGTGGGTAGTGGGGCATGTTTTTAAGGGATGGGGGAATGTTCAGTTGGCTTGTGACTTTTCCAAAAGAAAAATCACATTAGGTAGGAGAACCAGTCTTTCTATTTATTTGTTTTTAAGTCTCACCATCATCTGAGTTTCTCAGCATAAACTGTGTGTTGGTATGTGTTCAGCGTCTGTGCTTGATGGCAGGTGCTGGGAATGTAGCTCAAAAGCCTGTTTTGTTTTGTTAAATAAAGAAAATGAAAACAGATGGGTAGCACTTGACAATTTCTTTGAAATACAGACAGGTGAGATGCTTGCTCCTGCCTGTTACTTTCTGCACCTGTGTAGGTCTTAGCTCAGTTATTCCCCCAAATGGGGAAAGCAGAGTTTCCTAAGTGAGCTCATTGGCAGGATGGGAAGTTTGTGGTGGTGTCTCGTTTTGAAAAGCATGGTTTATCTCCCCAATCTCTCTCCTGCCCACCCGCTCCCAATCCTGGGTGCCTTTCTTGAATTGAGATCTGCTTCCTTGCCAGATAAGAAATCAATGACTGATACATGCTTTTGGAAGGATTTACAGACCTTGCTAATTTGAAAGGCAGAGAGTGTTTTTTTTGCTTGATTCATCCCGCTGGCAGGATTATTTCTCTGAATGCAGCTGTTTTTTGCCTGCCTGACAGCACACAATTAGTATTTAACACATCATCGTTGGTGTACAACAGCAAGGAGCAGGCATGACATTTCTCTTCTTAT